TTAGTTTTAACTTACGAGCAGTCTTACAATCCAAATGCTGGCCACTTGCACAGTTACAAATAAAGATTCACGATGCCAGAAAACTGTATGTAAGCATATGTAAGCATCAGTTCCACATATCTGTGGACAAGGTTTTGGTCAGTGCTTTATATAATTGCTATGATTACTGCTATCAAAATGGCCCTTTAAAAAAGCTAGAAAAGAAGCTAAGGAAGGAAGGGAAGGTAAAGTAAGCAATCACAGGAGCCAGGGATTTAGCTCAGTGGTTCTACTGCCTACCTTGCAAGCTCAAGGACCCAAGTTCGATCCCCAGTACCAAAAAAAAAAGAAAGCAATCACAATAGAAAAGAAGGAAATTGTGTAGAAATATGAGTGGCATTCCTGTGATCAGTCTTCCTAATACATGCAGCATGATCCACTATCTTGACAATCTTACAGAGAAAAGATTTGTATAAGGAAGCTAGTGTTGCTAAAGGTGTTACTCAAATTAGTAAGTCATGATCAAGAGTTAGGTGATGTAGAAAGGCTATTATTAGTGGGGATAAACAAAAGGCAGATGGCAGGTTATAGCCTATCTGAGTCTATAATTAGTGAAAAAAAACTAGGGCTATAAATGCAGATCGCATTGTGTAAAGGATAATCTATCAACAAGTGATAATGGTGAAACAGTTCATGCCAGTAAGGGGTGGTTTCACAATTTTAAAGCGAGAACTAGGATTCTTAGCATGACTACACATGTTGAAGCAGCCTGTGCTGATAAAAGGACTGCTGAAAATTACATACACCACTTTAACAGCATGACACAGAGAAATAGCTTTTGCTGTCATCAAGTTTTCAACTGTGATGAAACTGGTCTTTTCTGGAAAAAAATGCCCAGGAGAATATACATCAACTAGGAAGAGAAGAAAATGCCAAGCCACAAGCCTATGAAAGATAGGCTAACCTTTTTGCTATGTGTCAATTGAGTGGTGACCTCAAGATAAAGCTTCTCTTGATTTATCACCCTGAGGCCCCTGGAGTGTTCAGGAAACAAAGTTGAAGAATAGGCTAGAGATCATGTGGAATCTAATGCAAAAGCCTGAGTAACAAGAGTACTTTTTCTTGAGTGGATCAGGGAGGCTTTCTATCCTACTGTTAAGAAATATCCAGAGGACAAAGGTTTACCACTCAAGGCTCTCCTCGTCATGGACAATGTTCCTGCTCACCCATTAAATTTAGAATTGGCTGAAGAATTCCCATGGCTCTCAAGTCGAGTTCCTCCCACCTAATAAAACTCCTCTACTGCAGCCTATGGACCAGCAGGTTACAGTTAATTTTAAGAAGCTATACACCAAGGAACTGTTCCTGAAATGCTTCCAGATGATCTCAGATACAGATTTAACCCTTAAAAAGTTCTGGAAGGAACATTACAACATTCTTTCCTATGCAGGTTAATTGAAAAATCCTGGGCCATTGTCTCTCTAAGGACACTGAGTTCTGCCTGGAAGAAAGTGAGGCCTAAGACAGAGGCTTTGAAGGCTGTGTAGAAGAGCCTGAGCCTTCAACTGGCCATGTGGTTGATGACACTGTCACCATGGCAGTGCCCATAGACTTGCAGGTAGACAGTGGTGACGTTGAGGAACTGCTTGAGGAACATTCACAAGAACTATCTACAGAGGAACTTCTGCACCTTCTAGCTGAGCACCAGAAAATGGCAGCTGAGACGCTTTCTGAAGAGGAGGGGGTATATCAACAATCAGTGAAATACAAGTTCTTCGAAAATAAAGGAAATCCTGAAGAACTTGACAAAGCTACAAACATTTGTAAAGACCTACCCAAAGAAAAGGCCAATCACTGCATTCACTTGCTTAATGATAATGTTATATCATACTACAGAACAGTGTTAAAGAAAAGACAGGAATAGACAACCTTAGATCAGTTTTTAGTTCTGAAAGCATTGAAACCTAGTGAGCCAGAAGAAGATCCTAGTGGGCTACAGACTCTCCCAAGGAAAGGACACCAGAGAGCCAGATTCCTGATGTTCTTATGGAAGGGTACTCTCCTTCCAAACAATAAACACTTTTCATTTCATCCTCCCTTCCTGCAAGCCAAAGATGTCAACTTGAATGATGAATACAATAAGAAACTGTTGTTTCTGGTAAACTAGGCACATTTTATAACTTTTTGGTGAATATACTAGGAAAATTATTGGTATTTCTGGTAAATTATGTACATTACACAACCCTTTTATATTATGAAAAGGTTAGTTAAAGGGTGCTTTGGGAGGTTCAGAATTTATTGTAGGTATTTCATTATTTCTTATGGGAAAAACTGTCTTGACTTACAATCAACTTGTGTTACAACCAACCCTCATGAAGAAATTGAATTTGTAAGGGTCCACCATATGAAGAAAACAATTCCACTCGCAATAGCTTCAAAAAAATAAATTCCTAGGGCTGGGGATTTAGCTCAGTGGTTCCGTCGCCTGCCTCACAACCACAAGGTCCTGAATTCAATCCCCGGTACCAAAACAAAAATTAATTAAAATAAAATAAATTCCTAGAGATCAATTAAACAAGGAAGCGAAAGCTTTAGAATGAAAATTTCAGAACACCAAAGAAAAAATTAAAGACAACAGACAACAGAGAGACCATGAGAGGTCATATTTATGGATTAGCAGAACACAGTATTATTAAAATGGCCATATTACCAAAAGCTATCTACAGAGTCAATGCAATCACCATCAAAATACCAATGATACTCACAGAACTAGAAAAAACAATACTAAAATCCACATGGAAGCACAAAAGACTCATAATAGCCAAATTAATCCTGAGCAAAAAGAGCACAGCTAAAGGTATCACAATACCTGATTTCAAAATATACTATAAAGTCATAGTAACAGAAATAGCATGGTACTGGCCCAAAAACTGACACACAGACCAATGGAATAGAAGACATAGAAACAAACCCATACAATTATAGCCATCTGATTCTTGACAAAGGGGCCAAAAAAATACATCAGTGAAAAGACATCCTCTTTAACAAATGGTGCTGGGAAAACCAGATAAACACTTGTAGAAGACTGAAACTAGATCCTTATCCCTCACCTTGTACAAAAATCACTTCAAAGTGGATCAAAAACCTATGTGTAAACCTGAAACTGAAAATGCTAAAAGAAAACAGTAGAAACACTGCCACAGGCACAACAACTTGCCGAACAGAACTCTGACAGCATAGGAAATCACAAGAAACCAACAAATGGGACTAATCAAATTTTAAAATTTTTGAACAGCAAGGGAAGCCAACAGTGAAGAGACAGCCTATAGAGAAAATCTTCGCTAGCTACTCTTCCAACAGAGAATATCCTCAACATATAAAACATTCAAAAAACCCAATCAATAAATGGGCAAATGAACAGACACTTCTTTATACACACACACACACACACACACACACACACACACACACACACAAATGAAATATTCAGCCATAAAGAGCAAAAGCATGTTACTTGCAAGAAAGCAGTTGGAACTGGAGACCACCATGTTAAGTGAAATAAGCCAGATTCACAAAATCAAAAACATTTCTCTCATAAGAAATTTAGAAAAAAAAATTAAAGAGATGATATGAAAGTAGAAGGAAGACTGTTAGAGAGGAGAAAGTAGATCAAGGGAGAAAGAAAAGGGTAACAAAGGGAAAAGATTAAAATATGTTATATTCATGTACAAGTATGCCAAATGAAACCTAACTAATACGAATAACAAAAAAAGGAGATTTCCTGGTTGTAGGTCTTCAACTTAAGTTTACCAACATGTAGTGAGAAAAAATAACCTTTAGAGGGTAAGGTAAAATTTGTACAAAGGTAATTTCTTACTAAACTACCACCCTTCTATATTCAAGGTTTATTTTACCATTCTGAAGAATGCCATTTATACAATTCCATTTAAGAAAATGTTTCAAACCAGGGCCACAATGGCTCCTGAACCATCATCAAAAGTGTTATCTTCACCCAGAGCAAAATAAAAGAGGAACCACTGGAGATACATAAATAATAAAAGAATTAGAAGAGATAAATAAAAAGGTGGTTGTTCCAAATTTTAAGATCAAAGAGAAAGCAGAGTACTAACAGATAAATGAAAACCAAGAGTTTGAGAGAGTTGCCAGGGGGACATCAATATATAAAAACTAATAGTATTCTTGCATCAAAAGTAATGAAGAATCAGCCGCCTGCCTCGCAAGTGCAAGGACCTGAGTTCGATCCCTGGTACCAAAAAAAAAAAAAAGTAATGAAGAAGAGCTGGCAATGTAGCTCAGTAATAGAATGCTTGTCTAACAAGTATAAGGCACCACCCAGTTCTGCTAAAAAATAAAAAGCAACTGAAAAAATGGAAAGTAGTATTCACAAAACAAAAATATAAATATCTAGAAGTTAAATGAGAAAATGTATAAAGACTTGCAAGGAAAAATTTTAAGCAATATTACAGGACAAAAATAGATATAAGTAGAGAGAAATAGTATGTTAATAGGTAGAACGACTTAACAGTGTCATGCTTATCCACCCCAAATTAAAGTCATTGGAGGGGTGACAAGACAGGGCAGAAATAAAAATAACACCATACTATAACACCAATAGCTACTGTACTCTAACCCCTGCTTATATCAGGGGAAGAACTCTCCTAATTTTAGAGCCAAATCTAACATAACACTTTAGAAAGCAACAGGCAACAGGGTCATTTATGCCTGCTAATGTTCTTATCTCCAATGTTAGTTTCCCCAATGAATGCCACTCCAGTAAGCCTGGAGTCTGGCATTTACCTTGTTTGCAGAACAGATACACTCTATACATAAACACTAAATATATTAATAAAAACTTTTAATTCCATCAAAAAACTAGAATTTAACAAGAAAATACTTATGCATATACAGTACTACCTGAAATCTAAAGATAAATACTAATGTCACCTCTCAAAAGGTAAACATATGATTTAATGCACATTGAATATATTTTTAATTCCAACCTGCAATGTCTTTAAGCGTTTATTAAGTGGTAACTCATCTACTTCCAGAATAAAAATTTGTACTGCCATGTCTAGCTTCTGTTGCACTTCATTTCTTTTGGCAATCAAAATATTCCCTTCACTCTGGAGGAAGGAAAAAACAATAACCACCATTAGTATATCAGGTGTTTTTCACACATTTACCCATGTTTACAAAAAGGAGTGACTTTAAATTGTAACATTCGACAAACACAGTAGTATAAATTTAGAACAAATATTCCTCTCTTGAGATCAAAATGACAAAGAAATTCCTTTCCTTTAATTAAAAATAAAATATTTAAATTCAACAATCCTGCCCTGCTAATCTATTTTTTCCTACTTCCACAATAAATTTTTTTTCTGAAGAAAATTATACAAGTTTCTATTATTATACACTGCCTTCCTCCTATACCCACTCCATTCTCAACTCATCTACTCATCTTTCAAGATTTAGTTAACACATTCAAACCAGATGGCAGTAAGATATATGAATTGCAGCCCGGCAGGAACAGTTACACTCCACCAAGCTAAAACCTTCAATTTGTCCAAGGGGTTACATTTGAAAATACGTGCATAAAAGATATCCAAAAATCCTATGCATTATCTCTACTATTGTATTTACCATACTATATTGAAACTACCAATATATCCATTCCATAGCTCCAGAAAGATAGAAGGGATCATGTCATTAAAACTTTGTGTCCCTAAAGAACGAGAAACTAGAGACACTTATAGCTAAGTGGATGCACATTGAGGCCATACTCTTAAGTGAAATAAATAGGACACGTGTAAATACCAAATAGTTTCTCTGGTGTGAAAAACTAAAAGTGTACTAAGGACCAAAACATATAACTGATATTGTGAAATAGGAAGAAAAGGTCTGAAGGAGTAGGGGAAGTGGGAGGGATAGGGGAAAAGAAAGAAGGGAAAAGAAAAAATATGAGAAAAAGAAAAAAATGGAAACAAAGTCTTTGTAAATAGGGAAGGGTGGAAGGGGTTGAAGGGAGGGCAGAGTAATGGGGAAAAAATAAGAACCAAGATACATCATGTGAAGGTACAAGATCCCAATGATGAATGTAACTAATACCTAAAATGTACCAATAAACTTAATGGAAAAAATTTTGTGTCTCTATCACCTATAGCAATATCGGGCATACATACTTAAAAGCTTAAACTTTTGGATAGTTTTTCTTGCATATGCTCAATAAGACTATTTTCTAACTATAAATAAAAAGAAAATAATTTCATGTAAACCTTACTTCTTTTACCAAAAAAAAAAAAAATCCATTTGGTAATCAAGGAAAGAATATGCTAAATGAAAGTAACAATGAAGTACAATAAAATAAAATGAAAACCTCATTTGAATGGTGATTATGATTGTGTATCCTATAACCTACTCTTCAGACTACCAAATGAATTCTTTTTTTCTAGTATTGGGGATTGAGCCCAGGGCTTCATCCATACTAGACAAGTACTATACTATTGGGCTATATCCTCAGCCCTTTTTTATTTATTTATTTATTTACAGCCCTTTTTTATTTTTGAGACAGATTTTTATTTTGAGACTAAGTTGCCCAGGCTGGCCCTGAACTTGTGAACCTCCTTCATCAGCCTCTAAAATACCTGGAATTACAGTCCTTCATCCAGCTCTATCAAATGAACTTTTAAATATTAAAACATCGGCAGTGGTAGAAACAAGTATTTCCTTTTTTTTTAAGTCATATTTATACTACTAAAATACCAAGTCCTACAGCTACATTAAGCCTCTTTCTGTCTCTCTCTGTCCTATGCTCAATTCACAAAAACAAGACCATAAAAAGCAGTTCTTTTTCATCTTTTTATCCTATTACATAAAAATACATTAAGCATTTTAATATTGACCTGTGGTTTAAATGGAAAGAATATAATTTGCACACATTTCAGGGTTCAAATTTCATATTAACATTCAGAACTATAAATTCTTGAGCAATTTCTTTAGCTCTTGTGAGCCTGTTTCCTCATAAAAGAAAAGCAAAAATACCCGTTTAAAAGTTAATGTAAGATAGTTTTAGAAGTATCCATAACATTGCCATGTTTGAGATTCAAAAATGATTAATTCTATCGCTTTTTACTTCCATAATAAAAGTGAGCCATTACCTAATACACAAAATAACCCAATTCTAATTCCTTCTCCAAATTAAACATTCTTTGTATTTCCAAGAGCCTACTTATCATGCTCATACTTCTCATTCAACTGGTCAATCTAGGCGTGAATAGGAACCACAGACGCAGAAACCACCAGTATTTAAGGTGAGACAATCTAAATATAAAAAGAGAGCTACAGAAAGCTATGACAGTTGTGGGAAATATCTTTACAAGGAAGACAAGGAGATCTGTTCAGCTCAATATAATAAAGTATAGAAAACAACAGGAAGTAAGTATACTTGTATCTAAACTAATAAAGAATTCATACAAAACATTTCCATCTTCATACCCCTCCCCACACAAACAGCTACCTCTCAACACTAGATGGCTTAGACAGTATTTAAATAGTACACGAGAGTCCAATACTATAACAAAACACATCACTCAAACCAAATATTAAGATTAACATTAGCAGGTATGGAAGCCACCCTCATTCACAGGCATCAGATGAGCCCCTCAAAAGTCACTATTTCTTATAAGAATTCCCTAAGTTTAGCTTTCGGAGTCCCTCAAGAGGATGCCTGCAAGAATTCCCATTAAGAATTCAATCAATCCCAACTCAGTCATCCCAATCCACATACAATTCACTAATCAGTTATACTGTGAACAATCTTACCTGGTAACACAGTTGAAATATTTTATCAGATTTCCAGTGGAATTGAGTTAATCAAAGATCAAACAGCACACAACAAGGAAAGATTTAGTTAACCATTTATCCACAATCACCAATTATCTATCACACCTTTCTTCAAGGTAATATTTTATAGTATATTCATGTTAACAATTTGTATGCAAATAAAGTACACATATAAATGCAAATAAAACATTTGATGCAAATAAACTATCATTACAGTATCTGCAGTCCCTCTGCTTTTTCAATACTATTTCTTTATGGTCAACAGATAAAAAACTCAATAGAGAAAATTCTCAACCCACCATATTATTACATGTTTGGATCTCCTCCTGAACCAGCTTGTATTGTGCCCAAATTTTCTCTAACTCATTCAAAGAAGCTACAGTGGTAATGCATCCTTCATCCAACACTTTTATAGCATCTGAAAGGTCATTCCCAAAACGAACAGTGATGCTGACATGTCTATTTTTTAAAAAGATAAAAAAATTAGAGATGTGGCATGAGAAAAACATACATACAGTAGTCATCTAAAAGTCACTATTTGCAGTACAGGCTATGAAGAGGCACTATTTGAAACTTTACATAAAATCATATGTAACTTTTAACATGCTCCCAATGGCTTGACCACTGGTGGTACATGCATGACTGTCCCATTGGGCAGGTTGACGAATGGATCTAATCACTTTTATCAGAGTTTTTACTAATAAAATTAATAAAAAGTCTATAAATGAACCAAATCTGATTAGTTGCTTGTATCTAAATAATTACTGCCCAAATACATTTATTAATACAATTTATACCAATTAAAGAATTATTACAATAATCAACAAACTTATTTCATTAAATTTTTTTTGGTACTGGAGATCAAACTTACGACCTTGCGCTTGCAAGGCAGGTGGCAGAACCACTGAGCTAAATCCCCAGCCCCTATTTCATTAAATTTTTTAAAATTTTATATTCATGAATTTCTTTAAAATATTTTATATATGGTAACAGCTGATTTGTATGGAGTACACAAAACATCATAATGTGTCTGGCTTTTTTCTGCAGCCACAGCAGCATCCGCTTTTTTTCATTTTTACTAGTACATATTTTCCATACATAATGGTCACATTCATCATAGGGAATTTGTACCTGTACATATTATGTCTTAATTCCTTTTCTCCAATTCCTCTCCCCTCTCTTCAACCCATCTTCCCCTCCCCATTTATAAAAGCTTCGTTTCCATTTTTTTCCATCTTTTCCCTTCCTTCCCTTCCCTCTTCCTCCTTCCTTGTTCCCCTTCCCATTTGAACATGTTCTTCTCACTTCCCAGTATTTGTCCACCATTTTGCTCCTTAAATATTTATTGGGTTTCTCACTCAAGAGAAACAATGTGATATTTAAGCTTGTGTGCCCGATTTATTTCACTTCAAATGATGGTCTCAAGATGCATCCATTTACCTAAAAATGACTCAAATTTATCCTTCTTTATGGCAGAGTAGTACTCCATTGTATATAAATGCCATATTTTCTTTATCCGTTCATCTATTGATGGGCGTATGAGCTGTTTCTGAGACTCAGCTATTATAAATTGGCAGCACCCACTTTTTCAGATAATTTTCAGTAATATTCTCTACTTTGTTTCCATGTGTTTCTCACCAATCCTAAATAAGCTTCTTTCGAGTGAAGATTTTTCAAATAATTTGTGCCTGTGGCATTTCATCACAGGTTCAGTTTATCAATAATTAATTCTCTAAATTTTAGAGAAATGGAAATCTTATGAGTACCCCACTGCTAGATAATACATATTTACAACTTCTGTACCACAAATTAGCTGTATTACAATTTTTTATACTATTTTAATATTTTCCTTAGGCAACTGTAATATGATGACATCTGGTGGGCTAAATCCATGGCTTTCTGTGCCTTATTGTAATCAAAGACAAGATGAAGTTTTATGTTTCCAGGCTTTCCTTCCGTCAATGTACACATATGATTTTTACAAGGTATTAACATACAAACAGTTCTTCTATCAGTCCATCTAACAAATTTTACAGAACAATTTTCAAAGTTTATAATTTTGTTGCATTTTTGTTTTTGTAAAGGTAAAAATTTTCAATTTGGCTGCACTGTGAAAAAAAATACATTTCTTTTTGTAAAAGTTCTTGTGCTAGCCAGGCATAGTGGTGCATGCCTGTAATCCCAGCACTCACAAGGCTGAGGCAGGAGGACTGCCATGAGTTCAAGGCTAGCCTGGGATACACAGTGAGTTCAAGACCAGCCTGGACTATATAGCAAGATCTTGTCTCACAAAAACCAAGAAAGAAAGGGGGGGGGCTGGTTCTTGCGCTAAGGGTATACTCGAATAATAACTATGCATATAATGTGCAGTATTCAAAGAATAAGCCATTCGTTAATTTCAAAACATCGTAAGAATGCCTATGCATCAAAGGGTTTGCTCTTTTTCCAGCACAGACATCTGAATCATAGGTGTAATCATATGGCAAACTTAATTTATATAATTTTATCCCTATTTGTACCATTTTCCTTTGATGTACTGGCAAAAATGCAGACATCCTCACTGTAAGATCATACTTTCATCTATTATTACAGTTTTTTCCAGGTTTTACTTCATTCTTCGAATATGTTAATCATGTCTTCCATGATTTTTCTAAATTTATTCAAGGGATCCTCAGTTCTCCATGTGGTATTGTCAGAGAAATGTAAACAGTTCGAAAAAGCCAAAAAATAATCACATTGCATAGCATTCTTTTTTTTTTTTGGTACCAGGAATCGAACTTGGGTCCTTGCACTTGCACAGCAGGTGGCGAAACCACTGAGCTAAATCCCCAGCCCTACATAGCATCTTTCCATGTCCGCTGGGATACATATTATTTTCAGACCAATAAAATCTAATATCTGGTAAGGGTACTACCACCATAACCAATAATACACCTACAAAAATTTTCATCTTGCTAACTACAGATTCCCAACATCACTGATGTTTTCGTCTTATTGCACTAAGCTCCACTGTATGGCATATTTGTTTCAACTATAATTTTGAGTATATTATCAGATATGAATCATTTACACAATGCAAAACGTTCATTGTAGTGAATATTTCTTATTAGAAATTCCACATTCTGTAGTTCTGTGTGTTTATGATCGATCATGCTTCTTTCTTAGCTGCCATTCTTCCTCTTGATCTTCTACATCCACATCCAAATTCATACTATGTTCATTGAATGTACTGGCCACAAGATTACATTCATCTAACTCTAATGCATCTTCATCCGAAGACTAATAGATCCTGACTTTTTTCCTCTGATGAGATATAATTATAGATTCATCCATTTTCTGTTTGACACTCTGAGAAAAAATTTTACAAAATTGAAATACTCTTAAAATTGAAAAGTGAATAGGTTACAACACACATATATGTATACAAAAATCATACATTACTTACAAATGAAAATCCCAAATGAAGATGAGAAGACTCGCCAAGGAACAACAAAGGAATAATAAAAATTTACCACTGAGCTTAGTAATCTAGTTGTAAAATAACAATGACTGTTTTTCTTTTAGCATCTTATATTAACAAAAAGAGCATACACAGGTTAGCTATACAACATCAATCAATTTCAAATCAGTCACCGAGTAGCCAGACATACCAATTAAGCCCCATTGTGAGCTTATTAATACAAACTTTTAATTTAAAAATGCAGAAAAAATAAATTTTTAAAGATTTTATATAAAAAGACAACTTCAAAGTCTGAAGAATTTAAAATGATACCAAATGGGCCTTCAACCTCTGCCCTACAATCAGATTTATAAATACTTCTCTCAAATTTTTAAATACAGCCAGTTTTGTTAATGAGACAGGATCACAGTCCTTGTGCATTCCTGAATTTAAATAATCAAAAAAAGGAAGAGCAGTTAATTAATAAAACTTACAAGGTTCATTCATATTATTTTTTTTGCAGCTTGCAAGTAAAATGCCACCATTTTTTTTTGGTACCGGGGATCGAACTCAGGACCTTGCACTTGCGAGGCATGCAGCAGCACCACTGAGCTAAATCCCCAGCCCTAACTGCCACCATTGTAACAGCACACTGTTTCCTCATATATGGATTAAAATATATTGTTATTTTGCATCTGTGCCCAGTGCCACATTGTCTGTAATCCCAGCTACTTGAAAGGCTGAGGCAAGATGATCCCAAGTTTGAGGCCAGCCTGAGCAACTTAGTGAGACTGTCTCAAAATAAAAAGTGCTGAGGATATAGCTCAGTGGTAGAACATTTGCCTAATGTGTACAAGGCCCTGAGTTCAATTCTAACACCACAAAAAATATATACATATATAACATTTAATTCATAATATACATATATAATATACAATATATGTGTATAATATAATCATAATATGTAAACATAAATACTGTATATATGTGCATTTTGGCCCAAAGTCTGGCTCATAGCATTGCCAGTGTAGACCTTGATTTTTGGTAGTATATCAAAAGATAATTAGATGCCAGAAGCACCAAATTACTCAAACTCTTGAAAATCTTACAAACCACATGCCAAGTGATTTATACTGGAAAATACAATCTCCACTGAGGGGAAAAAACAACATGCAATACTTATTCAGGGCAACATCTCGATATTTCGAAGTGCGGGAGAAAATCAACTACTGGTTTTAAATCCACTGTACACCATGAAAAAGGAATAAGATTATTCTGACAATTATCCATAATTTGAGTGACAAATTATCCCTAACTGATAAAGCAACCCTCTACTCAGATTAAAATACCTACAAATGGTATGTCGAATACAGACCTTGAGAAACCCTTCATGAGACTTGTTAATTAATCTCTTCTCTTCTGACTCTGATAATCACTTTGCAAATAATATATTTTTTCTTTAGACAGATTATAATTAATTTACTGAAACCTTTAGTTTCAGTATACTGAAAACAGCCCCCAACAAAATAATTGGATATGGTAGTTTCCCATCAAACTACCACTTAGAAGTTATTTTGATTTTTTTTTTTTTAATTTCACTCAGAGATGACCTTAAAACACGATAGCTCCAAATACTGATAACAGAACCCGGACAAAAATTATGAAATTAATTTTAGGAATAATTATCTTTAGTTTCTCATAAAAATACAAAGATTAAATTTCAAAGTAATAATAAGTGGATACACAATTTAATGCACCAAGTAACTGGCAATTATTTTAAATTATCCTTCTCAAAAATATGCTCTTACATACCTAATTTCTTTTAGTATTTCTACTTTAGTGGCCAGATTTTTCATTCTGGTACCTACTTGAGTCTTCAGACTACTTTCTAAATGTTTGGTCAAATTCATTGTAGTCTCTTTCTCTTGCTGAAATAAGGAACAAACAAATCCTAGTAAGACCCAAATAAGAAACTATATGTGCTATTATTTAAATGACTTTAAGCATAATTAATAAAATTTTAAAGATTATAAAATGTTAAGTGTCAGTAATGGGGGGATGAATACAAACAAAATATACTGTACACATTCAAACCCTCCCAAAATAATGTGAAATAGGTATGGCAAGACAAGGGAAGTAAAGGACAAGTGTGAATATGATGAAAGTAGGTTATGTGCATGTATAAATCTGCCAAAATGAAACCCATAATCTATATGACCAATGAAAAAAGAATGAAAAAAATGTTAGTCACAGAACTGAACTGAATTGTCAAAACAGGGTCCCAGCAGGTGTCAGAGAATTAGAGAATTGATGTGTAGTGTCACAAAAAAACATACACTTGAAAACCACACAAGGGCTACGAATGTACCACAGTGGTATAGCACTTGCCTAGCATGCACAAGACCCTGTGTTTAATCCTCAGTCATCCCTCCCCCTCAAAAAAAAAGAAAACACACTATTCTTGAAGTGGAAAAAAAAAAACTGAATCTGACTCTGAACAAATCTTGAGATCTAACTATCATAAAAGGAAACAAATGAAGACAAAGAAAACAAGCATGCAGATTAAACAATTTAAGAAATATCAACCAAAATACAATGTATGACCCTAACTGGGATTATGACTGGAAGAAATCAATTGTAAAAGTAGAGCCATGTGGGAAATCTGAACATTACCTGGACATTAAAGGCCATTAAGGAATTACTGCTTAATTTCAGTATGTATAGTATTATGGGTATGGTTTGGGGGAATTTTTTGTTCATTTGGGAGTGGGGGATGCTAGGAATTAAAACTAGGCCATGCACTCTGCCACTGAGCTACAATACCAGTCCCTGATTATAATATTTTTAAAGTTCTTTTCTTTTTTGGTACGGGGGATCAAACTCGGGACCTTGCACTTGTGCAAGGCAGGTGGCGGAGCCACTGAGCTAAATCTCCAGCCCTAAAGTTCTTTTCTATTAGCTATAGCTACATATTGAAGAATATGAAATATTATGAATAGAATTTGTTTTAAAATAATCTATGAAGTACAGATTTAAGAAAAGACTGCCAAACCCAAGACTGAAAAAATTGATGATGAGTACATGAAGACAAATTATTCAATTCTCTTTCCTGGAATGTTTGAAAATTTCCTTAGTGAAAAATCTTTCAAAAGAACATAAAATAAAATGTAAATGAAAAATGATTAAATATCAACAAAATCCAAAAATTATTAGTTTGAACTATAAGAAAAAAATTCATCTGTAAATAAATGTAAGGAAAGAAAAAAATGAAGAAGAAAGGCAAGGAAAAGAAAGGGGAAAAAACTGGCCAGAAGTTAAGTAAGAGTAAATTAGTATGCAAATTTCCCAGTTGAATATTCGTTACCTTAAACCAGTGATGGCAAATCTTTTAGAGGCCAAGAACTCAAACTGCAATCTAAAACCACTTATTTATCCCAAAGTGCCGACACAGCAATTAAACCTGAATACTGAGGTATTAGTTTAGAAAAATCTCATACATTAGCATTTCTTTTTTTTTTTTGGTACCAGGGATCAAACTCCGGTCCTTGCGCTTGCACAGCAGGGGGCGAAACCACTGAGCTAAATCCCCAGCCCAGCATTTCTTGTCTTAAAGGACAACACCCATGCCATAGGTTCACCACCACTGCCTTATGCTTTGATCATACCTGCAGCTCCTGAGAAGTCTGTTCTACTTTCAATTCTAATGCCTTGTAACTTTCAAGAAGAATCTCCTTCTCTGCTTTAAGCTTTTCATTTTCTTCAATCAGTTTCTGGTCCTGCTTAATTTTTGCCAGGCTGACATTAGATCCTAAATTAAAGGCACCAACAGCCAAACTTTCCCTATTAAAAATAAAATTCATTTTTTAAAAACACTGTAAAAGACTGACAGAGTTCACAAATTAAAATTATCTTGGGTTTTTTTTATACCACTTTATACTACACATTTAGAGTTAATACTGGAAACTAAAATATTTACCTAATTCAATATTTCTTAAAAAGTATCTAATGTAATGTAAACTCTGTCTTATGACTGAGTTACACTTCAAAAATACTGACTCCAACTCTCCTATATTCCAAATTCCCCATGGTACTACCTACTCCAGAGATAAGATAAAAGACATTTCTGAATCATTTCTTCCAATCCCTCTCCACCATCATCCCCATTCTATTTGACAGTCTAGTTCCTAAAGCATGGGTAAGATCTCATAAAACAGCTGTATCACCCAAGATACAGAATCATGGCTTGAATCACAATACACAATACTATATATATAAAAATAAATGTGACTTTTCCTTCAAGTTGGTAATTAAAAATAATCCAAAAAAGGAAGTCCTAAAGAAAGTATACATGTCTGAGGTGACAGATGTGCCAATTTCCCTGATCTCATCATTACATAGGGTACACATGTACGAATATATCACATGGTATGCCATAAATACGTTCAATCACTGTCAATTGCAAATAAAAAGGGTTTTTTAGAGGTGAACTCCTTTGGAATAATAAAATTCCATCACAACAAGTTTTCATGGGAAGATCAAAGAACGTTTCTTTTGTTAAAGAAGAAAAGGCAGAAAATACTTACAGCCAAAGAAAAACAACAATTTTTTCTTTGTTTGGTGCTAGGGATTGAAGCCAGAGAATCATATGTGCTAAGCATATGCTCTACCACTGAACTATATCCCCACCATTCCCAACTTCAAATCTGGTATGAAATTCTGGCTGTGCCTAATTCAAATTTAGAGACAGATTTTTATTTTTGATAGATGTATTCAAAGGATTTGGCATGAAAATTGGATTTATGAATTTTAAAAACTTCAGCAATGATTTTTCTTTTAAACTTCTTTGTTAAAGAAAATATTCCTGCTAGGGCCAAGGATTTAGCTCAGTGGTGCGGCCACCTGCCTCACACACAAAAAAGATAATTATATGAAAATATTTCTGCCAAAGCAAAGGAACACACTTGAAAAACTTTTATTAGTATCATCCATCAAAATTACTATATAATATTCCACAAGCATAAACAAGCATCCCCTTCTACAAGGGCTACCATACATTTGAAAATTGTTAAAACTAAAAACCCCATCACACTCTTACTTTGAAAATGTCACGTGATTCCCTGAATCATTTTCATTCTTCAAGTTAACACTCAGCTTCCCATCTATGCGCCCCTTTGGCCTACTAAAGTTTGATTGGTTTGATCTGTGACCCCACAAGGGAATGGGATTCTTGAGATTCCTGAGAGCAAGCTGACTAGGATCCAATTTTTTCTCTTCACAGACGTTAGTGCTAGAAGTGAGTTGACATTTTTCTGCAAATCCTTTCTTAGCCACCTCTTCTCCTATATCCACACTGTCATACTCAGCCTGAGCAATAACTGTTCCATCTTGACTGGTTGCTTTGATTCTCATTTTTATTTCCTTTTCAAAAATCAAGCTACCCAAAAAGGTTCTGCCCTAAGAGAGATAGGAAAGAAGACATAAACCAGCTACTTCAACATATTTTTCTATTCACTAATTTTACTTCTATGCATTTTTTTCCAAGCATTGTATTTCAATGTATTTCCCTTATTGTTGTCTACATGCAAATATACTTGTACATGTATATTCCAATTACACACTCATTAAAATCTTCCTTTCCAGAAGTAGTTAATAACCACAGAGGCAGCCATATTTACAAATTTATACATGTACACTAATTAATTAAATATCCTAGAACAATTTTTTTTGGTACCTGGGACCAAACTCAGGACCTTCAGATTGTGACAAGTGGCGGCACTACTGAGCTAAATCCCCGGCAGCCTAGAACAATATTTTTAACCCAGTAGATTGTTCTTACTATTCTTATTCCAACTAAATATGACATTCTGAGCTACACTACATAAAAATGAATTTCTGGTATCTAGAAAAGGTACTCAAGGGCCAGGGATTTAGCTCAGTGGTTCCAGCGTCTGCCGCGCAAGTACAAGGTCCCGAGTTTGATCCCCAGTACCAAAAAAAAGAAAAGGTACTCTATTTCCACAAAACTGAAAAAAAATTGTTTAAAGGCAAATCAGGTTTCATGGTTTTGAAGACATGAGCAGGAATGAGCAGGAACAAAAGACCAGAAACTCGGGCTGGGGATTTAGCTCAGTGGTTCTGGCACCTTCCTCAAAAGCACAAGGTCCCAAGTTTGATCCCCGGTACCAAAAAAAAGAAAGGCAAAAAAAAAAAAAAACAGAAACTCAAAGCATAAAACATCAATAAAATTTTTTTAAATCAACAAACTGATATTTTGGAATGCGAGATGCTAGAAATTAGCCCATTAAAAACTTTGAAATATAATTTTTAAAGGTACAACAGCAGTATAATTGTCATACGATAAGCCACATGAGAAATTAGGTGCGTGCTGATTTTTAATTATTGATTACTAATCCACCACACTGAACAAAGATATAACTAACATGTTTGAAACTGGAATGTATCTTGAACTTAATTTTAATAAGAACATATCTACTCTTCTAGAAATCTGTTAATTCCTAAAGTTATTTTGATACAGTCTAAATACTCATCTTTTCCCAAATTCCAAAGGTCTTCCCCTGATTCCCACTCTATACTATAAACTACTCATTTTTCAGAATCTATAAAAGATAAATTTAAAACATAAAATGGGTGGGATATTGCTTAAATTTCCTGCTTTGTATCTTCCTTGAAAGAGGGATATAATTAAACTGATGGGCCATTAACTCTCTTAGACTTCTATTTTTAGCTATATTCCCACTAGATAAATATGAAAAACAATATAAAATATATATAAATAAAGCAAACCAAAGAAATCATACCAATAATAATCAGAAAAATTAGAGTCTTAAGATCAGGCAAGGCAGGGGGAAGATGGTGCATACCTGTAATGGCAATATTCTGGGAGGTTGAGGCAATAGGACCACAAAGTTCAACACCAGTCTGGGAAACTTAGTAACTTAAGTGAGACCCAGTCTCAAAATTTAGAAAGATAGGGGGATGTAGCTCATCTCTGGGGTACAATCCTCAGTACCATCAATCAAAAAAAAATAGAATTTAAAGATGGAATGAAAAACTAGAAAATGCAAGCTGGATATATTTAAAGAAATAAAACTCTTTAAGATCCAAGAAATTAAATGATATTGTTAAGGATTAAATATTTTCTACCTCTTTTTAATTGTACAAACATATAGAGGGTACAGTGAGACCTATGTAGGAGTTCTTTTTTGGTGCCATGGGCTCCTTTATCAGTCTGGTGAAATCAATGCACCTCTTCTCAGAATAACATTTTTAAATGCATAAAATACATAATATCTCATTTCACTGAGATATAATTTAACTCGAAGATAAGAACTCCTGGGCCTAGAATAATTATCTGAAGGAGTAGAGGAGATTCAAACTATACAACATTCAAGGATTACCAATAATCATTATTTTTAAAAAATAATTTTTTAACCTAAATAATCAAAATGCCAAAGTACTTAAACAAAAACACAGGTCTTACAATTTTTTCAAAGTATAAAATTTATAAATATAACCATTATATCAAGAGTCTGGCCATGGTGGTGCGTTTCTATAATCCCAGGACTTGGGATGCTGAGGGAAAAGGTTCACCTCAAGTTCGAGGCCAGACTGGGCTATTTAGAGAGTTCAAGGCCAGCCTGAACTACATGGTGAGAACTTGTTTCAAAAAACCAAAAAAAGAAAAGAAAATGTAAATACAAATAGCAGATTTGATCCAGAAGGCTTCAAAAACTCAGGGAGATCAAAACACATTCAAAAATAACATATTCAAAATGTCATTCACTAGCCAGAAATGGCAGTGCACACCTGTAATCCCAGCACTCAAGAGGCTACGGCAGGAGGAATGCCGAGAGTTTGAAGCCAGCCTGGACTACACAGTGAGTTCAAAACCAACCTGACCTACATAGCAAGACTCTGTCTCAAAAAGCCAAAAAAAAGTTTTCAAAAAATTTTTTCTTTTGGTACTGGGGATCGAACTTGGGACCTTGCACTTTCGAGGCAGGCACCAGAAACACTGACCTAAATCCCCAGCCCTGATTTCAAAAAATTTAATTCCCTGAAATACATCACATTATCATTCTGATCAATTAGATATAGTTTTCTGGTTAACCTAGTACCTACAAAAACCCTTAGTTTCAACTATTAAGTGTCAAAGCCTATCTAAAATCTAAGTACAACTGCTACCCCTACAAAGTGAGTGTTTGAAAATTATTGCTGGAACATGTGGAATTCTTAATATATCCAGAAATTCAGTCCTCGAAGAGCATATGAATCCAAATGGAAATACTCTACAAACGTTTCAATTACCTAAGCCTGAATGTTCTAAAGGCATAAACCCCTTGCTCAGAGATTTTATGTAGATATATGATTTTTAAATTTCACTCTGAAGTAAAGTTCCTTTTAGTTATAGTAACTAATCAAAATTAATACAAAACTGTTCAAGCCTAAATCACATATAATCACAAAGACAAACCCTAAAAACAAAATAAAATCTGAATTTTCCTCAGTTCTAACAAGCAACATGAATGACAATGTAGAGAGGAGGTGAGCCAATCCCAGCACCCAGGAAGAGACTCCCCAGCCACCATTCCACCATTCCCAGGGCACAGGAGGTGAGCCACACGGGCACCAGCAGCACCACTGCCCCCCCCCGCCCCCTGTGGAAATGAGAAGACACGTAAAGAAGCCTCAAAAACAGACTTCCAGATCACCTACAGCAACCCCAAAGGGAAAGGAGATGGAACAATCTTATACTCAACCACCTGGACTCCCTGAACTGGCAACAAAA